CATTCCCCCCTCATCGCCTCCCAATTTCCCCCTTCATTGCCCCCCATTAACACCCCATTCCCCCTCATTCCCTCCCCCGTGGCCGAGCACTAGCGGTGGGCTGGGGGCTGTGTTTTGGGGTCCCGGGGGTGCCGTACCTGGCCGTGCCGGTCCCGCGGGGCTCCGCGGGGTTGCGGGAGGGGCTGTTGGAGCCGGACGGGGGGGCCGCCCCGCCCCGGGGGGGCAAACACTCCTGCCTGGGCGGCTTCGGGGGGTCCCCGGCCCCCCTGGGCTGGTGGCCCCGCTCGGTCCTGCCGTGGCCACTGTCCCCCCCGGCGGGGGGGGGCCCGGCGGGGCGGGGGCGCCGGGGGGTGCTGGGGCTGGAGGCGCGGGACGAGGGGGCTGCTTTTTGGGGGGACATGCCCGGGGGACGGGGCTGGGGCAGGCGGTGAGCTGGAACGGAGAGGGGGGAGCTCAGGGGAGGCAGCCCTCAGCACCCTCCCTTAGCACCCCCTTCAACAACCCCCACCCCAGCACCGCCCCCCTCACACCCGGCGCTATCCCAGGATGTGGGTGAACATCTCGGGAATTAATTTGGGCAACCCTCCCACACACACACGTATCCCGCCCCCTTTTTCCCCCCTTCAGCTGGATCAGCACCCTGAGGAGCTCAGCTCCAGGGAATGGAGCCCCACAGGGAACCAGGGAATGGGGCCCCCCACGGAACAGAGCCCCAGGGAGAGCCGTGGAATGGGGCCACAAAGAGAGCCAAGGAATGGAGACCCATGGAGAACTAGGGAATGGAGAACCATGGAGAACTAGGGAATGGAGACCCACGGAGAATCAGGGAATGGAGACCCACGGAACAGAACCCCATGGAGGAGCAGGGAAAAAAGCCCCATGGAAAGCCAAGGAACAGAGCCCCACAGAGAGCCAGGAAATGGGGTCCCATGAAGAACCAAGGAATGGGGCCCCAAGGAGAGCCAGGGAATGGGGCCCCATGGAGAACAAGGACGGGCAGACCGTGCCAAGGCAGGGGGCATGGGGTGGGTGTGTCTGTGGGGTCCCGGGGGCACTCACAGAGAGCAGCACAGCGACACGGGTCGTGCTTGTCCAGGTAATGTTCCAGTGTGTCCCAGCCGCCACCAACACGCACCATGACGTGGCTCCTCAGCACCTGGGGGGCACCCCACTGTCACCCTGCCCGTCCCACCCCCTCTGAGGGACCCACAGAGCCACCGACAGGACCCCGAGGCGGGCAGGGAATCCAGCTCAGGGCCCCTCAGGATGGGGGGAGGAGGGAGGGGGGACAATGGGGTGGGGGCCGTGGTGGTTCTTACTCGGACGAAGATGAGCGTGTTGGAGTCTCCCACTTTGTACTTCCCCTCGGACACCTTGACCATGGGGAATTGCGAGGGGCAGGAGCAGCAGCCCAGGATCTCCCGCACCTGCGGGCACACAGGGAAGGGGTCGGTGGGGCGTGGACCCCCCCGCTATAGGGCGGGCTCACTATAGGGCTGGGCTCCCGGATCGGGGTTGACTCTCCCCCTCCCCCCCCCAGCTATAGGGCGGTCCCACTATAGGGCCGGCCCCCGGCCCAGCACACGGAGGGGCTCCGTGGACCCGTCTGGGAGCCGGCTGTGTCCCCCCGGGATAGCAGCTCCCCCCTCCCACCCCTGGGAAGCACCTGGGTGGGCTCGGGTGGTGGTGGGGGGAAAGCAGCTCCAAGTGTTGGGGGGCACCCACAGCACCCCTGGGGGGCTTCCCATGGCCGGGCACCCCCTGGCAGGCTGAGAACGGGCACAACTCCCTTCACGTAGGAACAAAACCCCCCCCACCCCGACCCCACTAATCCCCAAACCGTGGGGCGGGACCCACATCCACCAGCAGAAACGGGGTAAATCCCGGGTTGCTTTTTTTTTGCCTGCCCCTAAAGCTGAACATCCCTCGGGGGTCCAGGGGGAGTGGAAGGATGTGGGGGGCCGGGCAGGGCACCCCCAAGGCCGGGCAGCGCCCGGTGCCAGCTGCCGGCCCGATCTGCCGGGCTGACGTCAGGGATTAGGCCGGGAGCCACGAGGGGACGTGGGGACATGGCCACGTCCTGCCCCGGCGGTCACAGCCCCGCCCCGAAATTTGGGGGTATTTTAATAATTAACTCCTCCGTTTTGTTTTTTTTGGGGGGGGAGGGGAGGAAGGGTTGTTCTTGCCGTTGTGCCCATCACGGGGGGCACTCGCGGGGGGCACTCGCAGGACGTGAGTTCAGGTTCCCACGCGGGTGACAAGGACAGCCCCAAACTGGGGAAACTGAGGCACGGAGCGGGGGGAGTGGGGGGGCAGAGAGGGGGGTCCTGACCCTGCTCCCCCACCCCGGGGAGGGCACCTGAGCACCGGCGGGGCCGGATCCTGCTCCCCGAGGCTCCTCCCCGGCTCCAGCACTGCCCATAAAAGCCGATGGTGAGGAATTACGCAGCCCGGAAAAATGCAGCGGGGGTTGGCACCGCCCGGCCAGGGGGGCTTGGGGGGGCAACAGCGACAGGGGGGGACAGCGAGGGGGGGGAAACAGCGAGGGGGGAGCCCCCCGCCCCCCCCCTCCCGCTTTGCAGCGGCACTGGGGGGAGGGCGGTGCAGGATGCTCTTTAATGAGGGACTTAATGAGGAATTGGGGTTTCAATTAAAAAAACGGCTTTGGGCTTAGGGAGTCAGGGCAGGGCAGAGCCCCCCTGTGTCCCCCCCAGCCCCGGATTAATCTGCTGTCCCGGATCCTGCACCCAGCCCAGCTTTAATCCCTCCTGAGCTCCCGGTCCCAAGGAGGGGGGGGGGTGTCCCCCAAATTGTGACACCCCAAATTGTCCCCCCATGTCCCCATTTCCATCCCCGGGGACACCGGCCCCAAGGCGGTGGGAGCAGGAGGAGGAGGAGCAGGTTCTGGGCCCCCCCACCATGGGGGGAGGTGGCAGAGGCACAGGTGGCACCAGTGTCCCTCCTGGGATTCTGGTGATGGTCACCAAAATAACCCCTCCTGGAGTCAGGGGGCTCCCTGGGAGGCTGGGTGGAATGGAGAGGGGCTCCCATGGCCACGGAGGGCTGGGATGGGTGCATGGAGAACACCCTGTGGACCACAGAGCACCCTGTTTGTTGGGTGGGCAGAAAGGACCTCCCATGGACCACAGAGACGGGAGGGACCTCCCAGAGATCATAGAGAGGGGTGGCACCTCCCATGGGCCACAGAGCACCCCGTTGGGTGGACAGAGAGGACCTCCGGGGGGCCACAGAGATGGGGGGACCTCCTATGGACCACAGAGCACCCTGGTGGGTGGGCAGGGATGACCTCCCAGAGACCACAGAGACAGAAGGGGACCTCCTGGGGGCCACAAAGACATGTGGGACCTCTCATGGACCGTAGAGACGGACGGGACTTCCCACGGACCACAGAGCACCCCCTGGGTGGACAGACAGGACCTCCCACAGACCACACAGACAGGGGACCACAGAGACCAGTGGGATCTCCCACGGACCACAGAGCACCCACTGCATTGGGTGGGCAGACAGGACCTCCCAGACACCACAGAGCACCGGTTGGGTGGGCAGACAGGACCTCCCACGGACCACAGAGACAGACAGGACCTCCCGGGGAGCACAGAGCGCCCGCTGGGTGGGCAGAGGGGCCCTGGCGGTGCCCGGGGCCGGGTGGCCGCCGAGGCCCTCACCCAGGCACAGGGCTCCCAGGGGAGCGCGTGTCTCACCAGCTCGTCCAGGTTCTTGAGGTCGCAGAGGGTGATGGGCCGGGCCCGGCTGGGGAAGGCGCCCGCCTGGGGGTCCCGGCTCTCCCGGCGCGTGCCCAGCGCGCCGTCGCCCATTTGGTCCCTCATCTCCTCCTCGATCTCCTCCTCCATCTGGATCAGCATGGGCGCCAGCATCCCGAACTTGGAGCCCCTCCTGGCCACCTCCAGCAGGCAGAGGACGAAGTTCTTCTCGTTCTTCTTCAGCACCAAGTCGTTGGTCTCAAACATGAGGACGTCCTGGATGCCCAGGTCCTGCCGGCACCACTGGATGAAGTTGGAGACGTTATCCCTGGCGATGAAGGAGCCGGGCACCACGTTCTTGGCCTGGAAGACCACCTCGTTCTGGGGCACCCGCATGCGGGCGGCCGCCTCCGGGTGCCGCTCCTGGAAGTCCAGGGCGGTGCGGTTGACGTTGTTGGCGTGGCGGCAGAGGTGACAGCCCGTCTCCAGGCTCTCCAGGAAGGTGTCCACCTGGATGTCCA